ATAGTTCAGTGACTTAATATTCACATGTATATATTTTATTTTTAGCATCGCGCAGCATTTCGTTTTCACGGAGTTTTGCGCTCACCGTTAATAAAATTAATAAAATACTACAACTTCATTTGGTTTTAATCTTTACTTATGTTCTAGAAGTTCTTACTTATCCTGAGGGTATATAATGTTATTGGTCAGTTTTAATAACCAAGCTTGTGATTGGTTAGGGACGTTTTTCCCGCCGATCTCTTTGTGTATCGGTCAGACATCTATAGACCATTGAGAAAGTGAGATGAGTATTTTTGGTCATCATTATATACAATATTAATTTTGAGACGAGACCTCAGGACAGAGACTGTAAGTTGACTTCTATTTCTTTTATCTATACTAATTCTTATTCTATACTTTCCGATAATTCATCGTCTTTGATTTTTAATGTAATTTTGTGAAGATATACTGAGTTCAACTTTATCATTATTAAATGAAGCTTAAAGTATAAATTCTTTGAGTATGTAAATAAAATATCAATTATGCAGAAGTGTATATAGAATATAATTATTGTTTAATAGGAGTCTATATATCAAGACCCGTTATTTTTATCGGGTGGCCATTGTTTGAGCCTTGATCCACAATCAGGTATACCTACAATTATTTTCTATTTATTGTGTATATATTATTGCAAATAGATTTGTGAACTATTCATTTTATTTGTAATAGTTCTATTTGGAATAGTTCGATTTATATTCTCGTTTTCAAGACGTCGATGTAAGGGAAATAACTCTTACTTTTCCATGTATTTATTTCAATGCTCAGTATAATGTGTAATACTTTTATGATCGATTATTATAAGGTAATTCATGCCTAAATTCATGAATATCATTATAAATGTAATATGGTTGTTTGTTTTCTAAATACTTATAATTTGTTATTGATATTTTCAGGGCTTTATTGATGTATTTATTTATTCAACATGACAAAATAAAATGATCGAACCTTAGACGCAGGAGTTCTTCTTTAACAGCATAAGAAAACCCTGTTACATATCTGCAGTACCTCATTTTGATACATATGGTTCACATCTTTTAGAAAGTCCAAGAAACATTCCATTTTGTTGTCCCAGCTACCACCTATTCAGAATGTCAGAAAATCGCTCCCTATATACAATTTTGATTGTTTAATACTTCACTAAATAATCAGCATTTTTCCTCTTACAAGATTGTGAATATTTGATTTTGGGGATAAAATAATCTGAAATGCAGAACCCAATATATATATATATATATATATATATATATATATATATATATATATATATATATATATATATATATATATATATATATATAATTATATATATGAGAGAGAAATAATTTTGTACATGTAGCTAAATATATATGACCAATATTTGTTGACATCCCTTTTTTAAATTCATAAATAAATATGTATATGTAATTCAATACTTGCTTTTGGTATGGTTTTTAAGGGTGTTTAATATGAAATACAAGGTAACTAAATGGTTTGTTCTTTAACTTGTATGAATTTTGTAAATTTTGGTGTTTAAAGCACATTTCAGTTGAATTTAAAGACTTTTTTTCCACTTTATACTTCAAGGGTTGCAAAATATATTGACAAAAAGAAAATCAAGATGTATTTGTGAAACACTGATGCCCCTGTATGGCAGCCCAAGGCCGATCGAGGTAAAAGTTTTTCAAATGTAGGTCAAACTCCAAGGTCGAGTTTAAAAATGATTGTACCCAAAGAAAGCTCTTTTCACAAGGAATAACACATATGAAATATAAAAGCCCTAGCACCAACCATTCAGAAAATATGGCAAACAAGAGGCCCAAGGGCCTTAATGGTCACCTGAGTATGATAAAACAATTTCAAGGATGCATAGAGTATAAAATGAACTGAAAGGTGAAGCTTTGTTGCCCAAAAGCAAGAAAAATAGGGTGATCATGATCAACAAAATAATTGGTCTTAATATTCATTAACAGTTCATAAATTAGGTTCCAATCTGTTCCCCATTTATCACTATCACTATACAGTATATTAACAAATTATCAATGCTTCTGTACTATTTTAATCCTTTGTTGAAATCTCTTACATTGGCATCTCTTGGTCTTTGATGAATATTTAATAAGACAAGTTATTTTTGTCTCATTTTTATTTATCTACTACTTACAAGTCTATCTGATCATTAAAACTATGAAAGTACTTTTTGTATTATACAATAAAAGTTTTTGCATAATTCTCTATTTACCTTTCAAATACATTATTTACAGTGATAAATTATCAAAAGTAAATGGCAAAGGGGAATAACTCCTCCCAGTAGAATACAAACTAATAGAGCCCTGGCCAGGACCAGAACACTTGACCAAATGGTCCAGATGTTCAAAAATCTGGTAAAAATTCCCTTCCTTATAAAATTTTTATTCTGTTTGCCTCAGATATGCCCAGGTGCGGAGAAGATTTTTAAATAAATAATGCATTTTTACTACAGATTCACTATATTATCAATAGAGCCCCCCCCCCCCCCCCAAAACACCAGAGCTTCTGACCCTGGGACCATATGTTTGCTCATCATCACTTTGTTTATTTGCTTAACACTAAGGAGCAAACAGGATTATGTAATGGAATTAATGCATTTTCACTAAATTATCAAGAGCCCCACCCTCACACCAGCACATCTGACCCAGGGGTCATGAAATTCACTACTCTGGAAGAAGCACACTTGCTCATCATAACTATACACTTAGCTTCTTTGCTTTTTTAACCAGAAGAAGAAAAGAATATTTTCAAAGAAATTTTGCTTTTTCACTTTATAATCAATAGAAGCCCCCCCCCCCCCCCCTCCTCTCACCAGAACCCTTAAACCTGGGGTCATAAAATTCACAATTTTGGAAGAGGCATCCTTGTGTATCATAACAATGTACTTTAGCCTGTTTAAGCAATACCCAGGGGCAGAGAAGAAGATTTTCAAATAAAATAATTCACCTTCACTATAGGATCTATATAGCCCCGCCCTAGCACCAGAACTCCTGTCCCCGGGGCCATGAATTTCACAATTTTGGAAGAGGCATCCTTGCTTATTATAACAATGTACTTAGTTTGTTTAAATAATACCCAGGTGCAGAGAAAAAGATTTTTAAAGAATTAAAACATTTTCACTTTATAATCAATAGAGCCCCGCCCTAACACCAGAACCCCTGATCCAGGGGCCATGAATTTCACAATTTTGAAAGAGGCATCCTTGATTATCATAACTATGTATTTAATGTGTTTCAATAATACCCAGGAGTAGAGAAGAAGATTTTCAAAGGATTAATGCATTTTCACTATATAATCAATAGAGCCCCACCCTAACACCAGAACCCCTGACCCAGGGGCCATGAAATTCACAATTTTGAAAGAGGCACTCTTGCTCATCATAACTATGTACTTAGTTACTGAATTTAATACCCAGGAGCAGAGAAGAAGATTTTCAAAGGATTAATGCATTTTCACTATATAATCAATAGAGCCCCGCCCTAACACCAGAACCCCTGCCCCTGGGGCCATGAATTTCACAATTTTGGTAGAGGTACTCTTACTCATCATTACTATATACTTAGTTAGTTTATTTAATACCCAGGAGCAGAGAAGAAGATTTCCAAAGAACTAATGCATTTTCACTATATAATCAATAGAGCCCCGCCCTAACACCAGAACCCCTGCCCCTGGGGCCATGAATTTCACAATTTTGGAAGAGGCACTCTTACTCATCATAACTATATACTTAGTTAGTTTATTTAATACCTAGGAGCAGAGAAAAAGATTTTCAAAGAAATAATGCACTTTCACTATATGATCTATATAGCCCCGCCCTAGCACCAGCACCCCTGACCCTGGGGCCATGAATTTCACAATTTTGGTAGAGGACTCAATGCTTATCACAATGATGCCAACAGTTTGACTGCTTGATGTCCAGGAGTAAAGAAGAAGATTTTTAAAGATTGCATTAATTTTGGTGGTTTTAGCCCCACCCCTCAGGCCCCAGGGGGGCAGGGACCATGAAATGCACAATTTTTGTTCCCCTTCACCCATAGATGCTATATGCCAAATTTAGTTGAAATTGGTTGAGCGGTTTCAGAGAAGAAGCTAAAAATGTTCAAATGTTAACGCACATTGCATGTCGCACGACACACGCCGACGGACAAAAACGGATAGCAATAGGTCACCTGAGTGACTCAGGTGACCTAAAAATTCAAAAGCAGGTTATACTGCAAGGTCAAGAGGTCAAAAATATTGGTACCAAAGGAAAGGTCACAAGGAATACATGATACATGTATATGAAAGCCCTCACACTAACCATTCAAAAGTTATAGCAAAGGTTAAAGTTTTTCAAAAATAGGTCAAATGTCAAGGTCAAAGTAAAAAATTATTGGTTCTCAAAAGAAAGATCTGGTCACATGGAATACACATGTGAAATATAAATGCCCTAGCACCATGCAATCATTGAAAAATTATGGCCAAGGTTAAAGTCTGGTAAAATTTTGCAAAAGTAGGTCAAAATCCAAGAGAACAAATAGGTTGGTACCCAAAAAGGGATACACATGTGAAATATGAAAGCCCTAGCACCAACTAGGGCAAGGTTAAAGTTTTTGCTGACAGAATGATGAACAGACTTGAAACTATATGTCCCAAATCTTCAATTGGGGGAGGGGGGGGGGGCTAAAAAAATAAAAGAAAATGGCAATAACTGTCTTAATATATGATTTACTGACTAAAATGATACAAACTCGCAGAGTAAACTTTGTCATCTTTCTTGATTGTTTACATCTGCAAAGTCCTAGCTGATCATGGTGGGTGACACAGAATTTCATTTGACAGAAAAATAAAATATGTTCACCTGGAAGGTTGAGTGCAAGTAAACATACCTTTTTGAATTCTAGAACGTTGAATTTTAGTCACTCAGAGAGCTAGGAATTTGTTTAATAAACATGAAAAAGAGAAAATAACAAATAATATGCAGTTTGTAACATTTATTGAAGATATGCCCTGGCAGGTTAAGGTTTCTGCTAAACCTGTACAAGTCTTGGAAATATAAACAGTAAAGAATAAAAAAACAAAAACAAATGGCACTTAAATGTATATTATGAACGTTTGAATGAAATATGAATGAAATGAGATTCAATATCTTTCATCTACATGTAAGTGGTTTACAGGAGTTGTACCTGAAATTTTGTGCACTATATGAACAGAAAAGAAAGTAGTCTAAGCAAATTTATGGCCAGACAAGAATCACTTATCATTCCTGGACTTTTTATCTGCTTCTTTGAGACCAATCCAGGTGTTCAGTTGCTTGGCTCGGATTTTGCTCCAGATGACATGATCACTAAGGGAGAGAATCTGTGCAGCACACAAAGCAGCTCCCTCTGGGAACATCACTGTGCTACATCCCAGTCCTGTAAACAGAATTATCTACAATTATCTCACAGAAACATCACTGTGCTACATCCTGGTCCTGTAAACAGAATTATCTGTAATTATAACACAGAAACATCACTGTGCCATCACTGTGCTACATCCCAGTCCTGTAAACAGAATTATCTGTAATTATAACACAGAAACATCACTGTGCTACATCCCAGTCCTGTAAACAGAATTATCTGTAATTATCTCACAGAAACATCACTGTGCTACATCTAAGTCCTGTAAACAGAATTATCTGTAATTATAACGCAGAAGCATCACTTTGCTGCACCACATTCCTGTTAACAGAATTATCTGTAATTATTACACTGGAACTTCTCTATGCTACATCCAGTTCTTTTAACAGAATTATTTGTAATTAAATAACAGAAACTTCATCGTGTAAATCCAAGCCCTGAAAACATTATCTGAAATTATGACACAGAAACATCACTGTGCTGTATCACATTCACGCAAAACAAATTTATCGTTGATTATGACAGAAACATCACATTGCTGCACCATATTTCTGTAATAGAATTACGGTAAAACACGCTTATAACAAAGTGCCAGGGATGGATGATTTTTCTTCATTATAAACATAATTTGTTAAATCCGTTAAGTTTACATTACATCTTATTGCCACAGGGAAAGAAAATCACTTCGCTGTAAGCGTCAATTCATTATAAGCATGTTCGCTATAAGCGTGTTTTACTGTATCTGTAATTATGACACAGAAACATCAATGTGCTGCATCTCAGTAAACGGAATTATTCTGTGACATAATGAGGATGTCCTGATGAGGACGAAAGGAGCAAAAATACAACGGGGGCGAAATTTTCCCTGTATACAGCTGTTACACATTATCTGAGTAGTTAAGGTTGCATTCTGTGTTTGAAGGATGACTTTATAATATGGAAACATTTTTCAACTCATACGGTAAGGTCCACTCCTCTTGTGTTTATCTATTATTTTAATGTCAGTAATCTCTGAGTTGCTTACCTGAGGGTAATCTGAGAGATGACCAGATGTCGTGTGATCCCCAGTCCCCTGACAATGGTGGACAATTGATGACTGGCCAAGTGGCATTTCCTGACAGAACTGGACCCAGACCATTACTTCTGCCTGCTACTGCTATAAACACAGTGGGTATCCCTTCACCTGGACAGAAAAATACCAGATGGAAAAGTCTAGATCCTTAAATGTTGGTTATTAACTACATAAATTTTCTGAATGGCCAGTATAAATCTGTATTATAGGTTTTGGGTGTTGCAAATTGTTTACAGGTAGTTCTTGGTGCATGAATTGAACAAATTTGAATCTACATTACCTGAGGATGCTTCCATTTAAATATGACCAATCATGGCTTTGCTGTTCTTGAGAAGAAGATTTTTAAAGATTTTTCCTATGTATTCCTATGTAAAACTTTGATCACCCATTGTGGCCCCACCCTACCCCAGGGGTCATGTTTGAACAAACTTGAATCTACACTATCTAAGAGTGCTTCCATATAAATATAACCAATCATGGCTTTGCTGTTCTTAAGAAATAGTTTTTTTAAAAAGATTTTTTCTATGTATTCCTATGTAAAACTTTGATCGCCCATTGTGGCCCCACCCTATCCCCGGGGGTCATGATTTGAACAAACATGAATCTACACTACCTGAGGATGCTTCCATGTAAATATGACCAATCATGGCTTTGCTGTTCTTGAGAAGAAGATTTTTAAAGATTTTTCCTATATATTCCTACGTAAAACTTTGATCGTCCATTGTGGCCCCACCCGACCCCCCGGGGGTCATGATTTGTACAAACTTGAATCTACACTACTTGAGGATGCTACCACGTAAATATGACCAACCATGGCTTTGCTGTTCTTGAGAAGAAGATTTTAAAAGATTTTTCCTATATATTCCTATATAAAACTTTGATTGCCCATTGTGGCCCCACCCGACCCCCGGGGGTCATGATTTGAACAAACTTGAATCTACACTACCTGAGGATGCTACCACGTGAATTTTAAACTACCTGATGATGCTTCCATGTCAATATAACAAATGGCTTTGTTGTACTTGAGAAGATTTTAAAAGAATTTTCCCATATATTTCTTTGTACAAATTTGATCCCCCATTGTGGCTCCTCCCTATCCCAGGGGTCATGACATTTGAACAAACTTGAATCTACATTACCTGAGGATGTTTCCATATCAATAAGACTAAACATAGCTTTTCTGTTCTTGAGAAGAAATTTTTTTTTCTATATGTTCTTATGTAAAACTTTCGAACCCCCATTGGGCCCCATCCTACCCCCGGGGGTTATCATTTGGACAAATTTGAATCTACACTACCTGAGGATGCTTCCATATAAATATGACTCATCAGGGCTTTGCTGTTCTTGAGAAGAAGATTTTTTAAAGATTTTCCCTATATATTTCTATGAAAAAATTTGATCCTCCATTGTGGCCCCGCCCTACCCCCGGGGATCATGACTTGAACAAACTTGAATGTACACTACCTGAAGATGCATCCATATAAATATGACTCATCATGGCTTTGCTGTTCTTGAGAAGAAGATTTTTAAAGATTTTCCCTATATATTTCTACGTAAAACTTTGATCACCCATTGTGGCCCTGCCCTACCCCCAGGGGTCATGATTTGAACAAATTTGAATCTACACTACCTGGGGATGCTTCTGTATGAGTTTCATCTTTCCTGGCCCTGTGGTTCTTGAGAAGAAGATTTTTAAAAGATGCTATTAATTTTTCACTAATTCTTAATTATCTCCCATTGAAAGAGGGCATGGCCCTTCATTTGAACAAACTTGAATCCCCTTCACCCAAGGATGCTTTGTGGCAAGTTTGGTTGAAATTGGCCCAGTGGTTCTGGAGAAGAAGTCGAAAATGTGAAAAGTTTACAGATAGATGCACAGATGGACAGACGGACTACAGACAAAATGTGATCAGAAAAGCTCACTTGAGCTTTCAGCTCAGGTGAGCTAAAAACTACACCAAAAATTACGATGGAAAATAACCATTAATACTACAGATCTATAAATACCTTCATACTCAGCCAGGATTTTCATTGTCTCCTCAGTGCCTTTGTGAGCAGAGGTCACCCTCAGTTCACAAGGAACACCCAGTGTCTGGCAGTTCATCCTGATTTTCTCACTATGGGCCATGTCTGAGGAGGACCCCATCAGAACCACTGCTCTGGCTTGAGGTTTGGGGGACAGCAGCTACATAAGGGGAAGAGAAGAATTTTAACAATTGTACAAATAAGAGAAGCCAAATCCACTTTAAAACTTGAGAAAAAAATACTGAAGGTTAAAACTCTTAAAAATCTCCATCTCGCTGCTCATCAGTAAAACCTGAAATTTCAAGCTATCGGTAGAAATATTCTAAAATGGCACTTATTCTAATTGTAGAATTATCTATGTCATTCAGAATCATGCCAGAGTCGGTCAGTTCAATTCTGCTACATTACAACTCTACAAGGACATACCGGATATTAAACTGTGATGAAAGCCTGTCATGGTACACAGATCAATTATTCTAATTACCTTGACCCTAACTGCCACCCATTCAAAGTTCCTCTTGACCGTGTCCAGAGCATCTGCCGTCACTTCCTTTAGTTCTCGGTAGACCTGCTTGTCCTTCATCAAACGTTTGTCTCCTGATGGCCACAGCCGCCAAGAATCACTGTCAATCACATCAGCCAGGAGGATCTCCCCTATAATACAGAGAAATCAAATCTAGTCAAGTCTAACACAAAGACACCAGGGATCATTGTCTATCACATCAGACAACAGGATCTCTCCTATAATACAGAGAAATCAAATCTAGTCAAGTCTATCACAAAGACACCAGGAATCACTGTTCATCACATCAGCCAATAGGATCTGTCCTTTAAAACAGTAAAATCAAATCTAGTCAAGTCTAACACAAAGACACCAGGAATCACTGTTTATCACATCAGACAACAGGATCTCTCCTATAATACAAAAAAATCAAATCTAGTCATGTCTAACACAAAGACACCAGGAATCACTGTTTATCACATCAGCCAATAGGATCTCTCATATAATACAGAGAAATCAAATCTAGTCAAGTCTAACACAAAGGCACTAGGAATCACTGTCTATCATATCAGCCAACAGGATCTCCCCTATAATACAGAGAAATCAAATCTAGTCAGGTCCAACACAAAGACACCAGGAATCACTGTTTATCACATCAGCCAATAGGATCTCTCCTATAATACAGAAAAATCAAATCTAGTCAAGTCCAACACAAAGACACCAGGAATCACTGTCTATCACATCAGCCAGCAGGATCTCCCCTATTGGTATCCTTGAAAAAATTTTAATATTCCCAAATTGTGTATCTCATAAGCTCTCTATAAGTAATACTTACAAACTTGTAAGAAAAAGAATACAAAAGTAACTTTTCAGATATGAAGAGATATTAAACAAGAGGCCCATGGGCCACATTGCTCACCTGAGCACTGTGGCTAGGAAAAAAGCAAAAATCAGTTCAGCATTGAAAAGCTTTAATGCATAAGTGGTCCCAACCTACCCCTAAAAAGGGACCTTGGAGGGGGTATGATTTGAACAAAACTGAATCTACACTAACTAAAGATGCTTACATATTTCTTTGTCTGTGACTTTTTCCCCACAAGTTTGAACTTTCATTATGGTCCCACCCTACCCCTGGGGGTCATGGTTTGAACAAATCTGAATCTACACTATCTGAGGATGCTTCCATATAATTATGACCAATCATAGCTTTGCTGTTCTTGAGAAGAAGAATTTTAAATAATGTTCCTATGTGGCCCCACCCTATCCCCAGGGGGTCATGATTTTTTTCGAACATGAATCTACACTACCTTAGGATACTTCCTAATAGTTAATAACCAACCATGGCTTTGCTGTTCTTGAGAAGATTTTTTTCTATATACTCCAATATAAAATTTGTCATTAATTTGTAATTATCTCCCCTTGGAAGAAGGTGTGGCCCTCCATTTGAACAAACTAGAGAATCCCCTTTACCAAGGATACTCTTGTGATCAAAAAGGACAAATTTTGATCAGAAAAGCTCACTTGAGCCTTCGGCTCAGGTGAGCTAAAAAGGACATTAATAAGATTTTTTTGACATAACAGCCATGCAGGTGTGCAAACACTTTTATGAATTTTGTGATTTACAACAAAACATTGATCTTTATGCAATAATTGTGGACTTTGTTCTACTCTGAATGAATAAATTTGAGTTTACAGTGTATATCTATACAATAACCTGTGCTGGGTTTAACTCCGAATTCTATTTTCATATCAATTAAGCTGCAGTCCAGTGAAGCCCAGCTCCTCTCCAGGATTTCAAACACCGTCACTGTAGTTCTGCTCATGATGTCTAGCTCATCTTGACCAATCAGAACACCTCCTACCTTCATCTGAGCGGACAGACACTGCTCGTACGACCACTGCGGATCATGGTTCTCATCATCCTGGGGAGAAAAAAAAAACCCAATTCACTACAGTAAACTCGATCTGAACTATGTACTAGGTAAAACTGGTGTGAAAGGGGTAATTATTGCATAAATCTGTATCTATAACTTTTGTCAGAAATACAGTTCATATTATTCTCTGGTTCAAAGAGTTTATACTTCATAATTTCTCTGGGATGATGAGAGTGCACCCGGCCATGCCCAGTTTTGATAGTGTTTCTTAACATGGATAAAGCTTATGCTCCATCCAAAAAGGCAAATTTTTTGTCAATGTCACCTCAGAAAAGAAGTATGCATGATACTGGTACCTTAAAGAAAGTCTCTTGTTTAGGGGGACAGAATCTAAATCCCTCTTTGACCCCTTGGTTTCTTTTCAGGAATGACCCAGTGGCAATCCTCCTTGTGACCCATTCTATGGGAATCATCTCACACTTGTAGCCAAGGAATGCCGTCTCTCCATGGCGTCTCACAAAGTGAGTTTTTATACCTATAATTACATTTCAGATCTATATGAAATAAAGTTAAAGTTTTCAACATGTAAAATAGAAATGAAAACCCCCCATCACTTCCTTAACCTCAGTCTGTAAATATTGTTATTATACCTCTATTAAGAATACTCAAATTTGATTGGCTTGTTAGAAGGCTTTTAAACTCAATAATGACTCCAAAAAGTACCATTTACAGCAATAATGACCTAGGAATCATTGCACGTGGGGTATAATGACCGGTCAATAAAAATAATGACCGCTAAAAATGACCTGTTAATCCAAATTCCATTCAAATTTTAAAATTAATGCATACAGTAATGACTGTTCATTACAAAAAATGCCGTTATAAAAATATGTATAGTCTTTTTATGATACGGAATACGATTGTCCTTTAGATGCGTCATAAAATTTATCGTTTTCATTGAAACTTTCGTTACAATGTCAAATTCAATGAATGCAGACTTGGCTCTTTTGTACAGTAAAAGTCTGCACCAGATTGTCATTGTACTCAGAAATGGTATTTGTGAATTTATAAAAATGCATGTTACTGACAATCACAGAGTGTTTTAATAAATCGGCGGTGCAAAAACTTACAAGACTTGCAGGTGAAAAGTAAACAACTTCACTAGCGAATCCCGATCCCGATGAAACACTGATAATAACAGATCGTAGATCTAATACACAGTTGATTATTTTAGTAATTAAGCCTACAAAAATTGTCTTGACTTATATCGGTATAATAAAACAATTGATTATCCCTTATGAGGTCAACATGGTGAAATAAGGACCCTCGACCTGGCCCACTCGCTGACCTGACCTGACCTCGGCCGCTACGCGGCCTCGGTCAGGTCAGGTCACCTCGTGGGCCAGGTCTCGGGTCCTTATTTCACCATGTTGACCTCATAAGGGATAATTAATTGTATATTATTTGGTGTTCTATAAATGTGAAACTCTCTAATCTCTATATACCTTGGGGCTACTCCTATACATGATACATTTCATGCCATGGTGATATCACATTTGAAATAAATAGGAATTTTGAATCAGTGATCACATAAAAAGTACAAAACAATTATTGACTTGTATTTAATCCATGCAGTCATTTTGCTCAATCAATTCCATGAACATTAAAGAATGAGGTGAATATTGCTCTTTGGGAGTACCTATCCAGTAAACAATTAATACACAAGCCAGTGATTGTTTCATTTTCTTTTATTTAGAGAATATTTTCCACAAATTCAAAGCATTTAAGAAAGATTAATATGAAGGTTAGATGGCAATGTTCAAAGTGTCATCCTATACTGACACATAATTAATGTCAACAAGTAAACCATAATGTTCATTTCAAAGACCAAATATAGGTAGTACACATACTCTGTACTCTTTCCAGTATTATAAATGACTGCATACAGTACCTGCAGAATTCAGTAACTCAAAAATGGCAGTGGTTGTATCTGTAGAGATTGCAGCCTTCCCTTTCAGGTCATGGGACCGATCCCCATCCCCCGCAGTGATGCGGTCCTTTGACTGTAGCACCACCAACTCTGGGTCATCAGCCACCTGGTACACCACCTTGGTCTTACCTTCAATCACCACTGGTCCAAGTTTGACTTCTGTAAAAAAAAATCACAATAAACCTTAAATAGCAATAGTTAACTTAATATTTAGTCAAACTATCTTGTAGTCTAATTTAACTGTTAATCCAAAATAATCCACTGTTAATCCAAAAAATGCCATTATGTTAAAAACCATCCATGTTATAACCATCCAGTTTTTCATGAATTGGTAGATGGATGTAAATACACCTCATTCATTTATCATTATCTCTTCTCTTATTCTAGTTCTAAAAAAAAATTCATTCCCCTTTGCCCCAACTCTGCAAGCCCTTTAACTTTGTCCCCTCCTTCTCCTCCTACTGACAATTCCTCCTGACCTTAGGTCCTCCTCCCTTTGTTTCACATATCCCCTATCCCAATGCTGTTACAGATAAATAATATTTCATGATGGTAGGTAAGGTATAATACATACTTGAGACCTTGACCTTCATAATATAACCTTGACCTTTATGGTGTAATATTAACCTTGACCTTGGCTGTTATTAATATTTTTGTATTTTGATTATTTTATAAGTCTGGACCTATCTCTCCAAAGTACAGCTTTATTGGAGACCATAATAATCTTTACTAGTTGGATGCATGCACTAAACATTCTGCGTTAGAAACTTATGTGTGAATCTCTGGTTTTTTTTCCACTTTTCTCATCTGGAACTTCTCAACCGTGACACCAATTAACGCATCACAAAAATGAATTTGGGAATTTAGTGTCAAACTACAGTTGACACTGAATGAACTTTACTGCCCAACAAATTAGGTTATAAAAAGCACCGACTCGCATCCTACAGTTCAAACCCGTCAATTTCTTTGTCTGTAAGAGGTAAGTTTGTAAAAATATAACTTTAATAATAATAATATTTTATGAATTAAATAATACTTACCCTTCTCCGTCATTTTCTCAGTTTTCTGTCAAGAAACCCCACGTGTTTGTCGCCTCGCGGTGCTTTTTTTCACGGCTCGTGAACACGTGTTTAACTATTTTTAGATTCTCCGGGATAATTTAAACACAGGCCATGTGTGATTTTATCAACTTCAACAGTTCAATGAGTGAATGAATATACATACATGGTCCTTGAGTAATTTTTTTCTATATTAATTATTTAATTGCATGCCAAAATGTAGCAAATACACGGATGAGATCGAGATAACGATTTTTGATTAAAATTCAAAAATTCAACTTTCAGGTATTTGTTGATTTCAGACCTTATTATTTTTTCCTGTGATCCACAGAGAATATGGCAGGTAAGTCTAATCCTATATTATTCTTCGATATAGTTCTTTGTATATTTTCTTTCGAATCAGCCACTGTATCACGGTCACTCGAGATGACCACGTGTACTGGTGAATTAGGGGTGCGGATCCAGAAAAAGTGGTCTTATTAATAGACTTGTATGAACAGAAGAATAGTGGCATATCTTTGTTTTATAAATGTATGTTTGTCCTTCCTGAATGTACAAAATATTATATTTTAAGTCTGATATTGATTTAAAAAGTATTAAAAAAAATTCAATACGATTTTTTAGCTATGGTTGATCATCTGACTATGCAGGATGACACAGGACTCCGGGAGGCGTGTGGAGTATTTGGTTGTGTGGCCCAGGGGGACTGGCCTACCCAGCTAGACATAGCACACACCATATACTTAGGCCTGGTGGGACTACAGCACAGGTTTGTGATTTCTATGATAACCATTAAATCTATTCGCATATCACTCTACTGTCAATGGCATGTCATACATTGTATGACTCAAGCTCAATCCCCCACTCCCCACCTCTCATAGAAATTTCTCAGTGACTTAATAAAGTTATATTTTTTTGTGTGTGAATTTTATAGGGGTCAGGAGAGTGCAGGCATTGTGACCAGTGCAGGTACTAATGACTGTAGATACAGTATAAAGAAAGGCATGGGGCTAGTCAGCAATGTCTTCTCAGAGGAAGACCTCCATAAACTCAAAGGAAACATCGGAATTGGTAAAAATACAGTCAATGTCTTGATGAAGAAAATATTGTCATCATAAAATTTTACTTTTCCTGTATCTTTAGAGACAATCCTCCCAAATAAACATTGCTTTATTTGATTCTTAAAATTATATATATCCAAATATTAATTAATTTAACAAGTCCCTCTTCATTTGCCATCTTATAAGAGCTGTATGTATTATGGTTATTGCTATAATTCAGATCATGTACATTCAGTATCATTTCTTATTTAAAAAAATAAAATAAAATATAAAGTAGAAATAAAGACCCTGAGATAACAGACTGTATTTAATTTCAAGAATATTTTATTAGGTCACACCCGATATTCTACTCAAGGCGAATCGGACACCATTAATGTTCAGCCATTTGTCGTGGAAACCATACATGGACTGATTGCTGTGGCTCATAATGGAGAACTGGTTAATGCCAAGAAACTTAAACAAAAGGTTTTTTTATTTTTCACACACAATATAAAACATGAAAATATTTCAATTGTGTGAGAATTTCAAGATCAAAAGAAACATGATATTGACTTAATGGCATCTTAACCATTTTCCTTGCAATATTTGTACACTAATACCAAGGTGACACCCAATATCTCTCTTAAAGAAATCACTTGACTTAGTGCTTGGTGTCCAATTTGAGGTTGAAAATTCTCTAACAATAAAACTGATCACTGGAGTGAATTGAAGATTAAATATTTAATTCTGTTAGGTGAAAACAACATCAAATAAGGCAAAATATATGAAGCCAAGTAGTCATCTTGGATACTGTCCCTATTTTATACTAATGCCAGGACTATAAACTAAAGAATTAATTGTGCACAATTGTGATGCTATATATAGCTCTACATGTCCACTATAATTCTAAATATACCCCAATGCACGAAGTGAAGTCTCTATTAAATGATGTATCTGGGCAGTTCTATAGACTATTTGTAAAAATAATATGGCAAAGTATTCTCAATTTTTAAACCCATACAATCATGTAAAACAATGTCTTATTGTTTTAGCTACTGAAGCATGGAGTGGGGCTCTCCACAGGAACAGACAGTGAGTTGATAACACAACTTCTGACACATACCCCAGAATGTGGGGAACCAAATGGAGCCAACTGGATTGGAAGGTAGTCAGGCTGAAAAAAGGGGAATAACTCTAAATTCAGGAATACAAAGGCCCATGCATTTTATTTTTGTTCTTCATTCACATTAATATTTTTCAGAATCAAGAAAATAATGGAGGAGACCGTAATTTCTTATTCACTTGTAATCATGCATGATGATAAGATATATGCTGTCAGAGATCCGTTTGGGAACCGCCCCCTCTGTCTGGGAAAGTTACTCTCAGTGGGGTCCATTAAAGGTGAGGAAGAAGATATCTCTAGGTACCATGAAATCCAATCCATTAAAATAATGTCACCTGTTCATGCCAGAGGTTTCATACAATTTCAAAAGCAGATCTAGAAGATACCAGATTAATTGAAGTAGCTATTGCATTAAGGTTATGTGTCCTTTAACTATTGCAGAAAATTCAAAGAAAGATGAGACGATAGATGGTTGGATAGTGTCCTCTGAGTCTTGTTCTTTTAACAGCATAGGAGCCAAATACTTTAGAGAAGTTCTGCCAGGTATGATATCACAATAGAGGATCAAGCCTACAAGTGGCGTAGTTTTCCTACGGCAAATATACACCGTAAATCATGAAATTTTGTGAAATCTTTTTTTTGTGGTATAGTAGCTGGATATTGATAAGTGAGAAAAAAGTTCACAATTTTGTTTATTGTGAATGTTTATACTGTCTACAGGGAAATGTTTGCCGTCCATTCTATTTTCGCTGCTTTTGCCCTTATCGCAAGTGGGCGAATTCAAAATTGGGCATAGACAATTGGTCAAAGACACCTTTATACTGTTGTTTCTAAGCAAATTCAAAACTAAGCAAAATTGTATGCAACTTTGACAGGCTAAAAGTATCATGGGGCGAAAATAAACCTGTATACGGTAATCTTTAATTATATAATTACGTGAAATTAAGATTATCGTGAATTTTAGGACAATTTATAGTATTGTTTTGTATATATTCAGTAAAAGAACTTAAAGATTCCTTTTTAATTTTTAGGAGAGGTGGTAGAGCTAAGTAGGAGAGGAATAAAATCAGTTTACATGGCACCCAGACCAAACAATAAACCACCCGCCACCTGTATTTTTGAATATGTCTATTTTGCCAGACCAGATAGTGTTATGGAAGGTTAATATTAATTAAAATTCAGTAAAAGTTCCAATTTATATTAAAATAATACCAAACTCTAAATGTTCTGGGCACCCACTAGGATAGATGAGATAGAAAAAAAATTTTTAATGCTACATATAAAACTTATAAATTTTAAGAATGTCTCAGCAATTCTGAATACATGGTATATTTCTATTTTGAGAATCATTTCCAGCAAAATCACACATTTTCTCCTATTGATTTCAGGACAAATGGTGTACAGCGTTCGTCAGCGCTGTGGTCGACAGCTGGCTAAGGAGGCTCCAGTGGAGGTAGATTTGGTCAGCACTGTCCCTGACTCTGCTACCCCTGCAGCTCTGGCATATGCTGCTCAGGTATACAAAATTCATGTACTGGTGATGGAAAAACTTAAATTATAAAAGCCTTATTTTCACAAAAACTTTCTTAAAATCATAACTAAGATGATTGCATATAACGGTTTACTTAAAGAGGTGTTTATTGTGTCACATAACAATATATGAAAACCAGTTTAATTTAATCATCCATCCATTTTTAAAATTTTGTTTTAACTCTAGCTTGGAATTCCTTATGGAGAGGTATTTTGCAAGAATCGCTATGTCGGAAGAACATTCATCCAACCCAATATGAGGCTGAGGAAGATGGGGGTCACTAAAAAGTTTGGTCCGCTGAGTGAGAATATAAGGGGGAGGAGGATTGTCCTGGTGGATGACTCAATAGTGCGGGGTGTAACAATGATCCCCATCGTCAACCTTCTGAGGGCGGAGGGAGCTAAAGAGGTGAGGGGTTACTGTGAATAACACCAACATCAATATTTTTATTTAAACAATAATATTCCCTTCAGTGAGTTATAAGTTATCCCTCTTTACAAAACAAATCAAACTCAACACACTTTTAGAGAAGGACTTTAAAAATTTGATTTTCAGTATAATTAAGACAACTCTCTTAAAGTTTAATAAAATTTTTATTATATCAGCGTGTTTGAAATCACACTGTCAACAAATGAATCAATTTTCTTTATATATCTGGTGCATATATTATATTTTTTAATGTTCTTGAATATAATTTGATTTCTGTATTTAGTCTGTCTGAGAACTAAAATTTTTCTTTGTGTAGGTACACATCAGAATTGCCTCACCTCCTATTAAGTACCCGTGCTATATGGGGATTAACATCCCAACCAAACAGGAACTGATTGCCAACAAAATCCAAAAGGACAAATTTGCGGAGTATTTTGGTAAGTTTTTATAATAAATACTTTCTCTGCAAGCACTATTTTAAGGCCATGATGTATCCAGTACTTAGACACAACTCTCAGATGATCTCTTTGTAAATTTTTAATATCTTTTTTTACACAAATTCTAAAGGTGCGGACAGTTTACAATATCTGACTGTGGAGGGACTTCAGCAGGCAGTGGTGGAGGGGATCAAAGGGGACGGGCTAGAAAACACTGGACACTGTGTGGCCTGCCTCACTGGTAATTACCCTACTGATCTAGAGTGGTGAGGTGAGGATCCAAGCTTTTGTGGGAAACAATTGAAGAATTGACTTAAAATAATTTGACTGTGATTTTGATGTTTTTATTATTGATCTCACTGACTAAAGGAAACATATCTTAATTGTGTGCTGCTCAAAATTTATATAATTATACTCATAAATATTAGTGCCAACTAAATATTGTACATAAATGACTATTGATAAAAATACAGGATTTTCAATGTGTTCATGGCACGTATTGGTGCTAATAGAATATAATATTAAAACAAAAGAATAATTTTATCAATATGGCTGTGTATATTGATATTTAAAATGTGCCATAAATAGATGATAATTACAAGATTGTATGTTGGATAGTTTTCTACATGTATAACAAAATTGTTCCATCTGATTTTTTTAATTTTAATTTAATTAATGTTTTCATACAATCTATGTATTTATATGTTTACATGTTCATATGACTGCCTTTTTTTACTGTATATGAGTTGGAGGATTGAATTATGTTTGTACAGAGAAAGTTTTTTTCCTCGATCGTTTTCAATTTGTTTTTTGTCAAGGAGGATCATGAATCTCGTTCTATTTCAAAACCACATTCAGTGTTGTAGTTCCTTGTATTTATGTATTATTTTTTGTGTTACAATTTTTTACTTGGATTTTTTTTATTGTAATAGAGTTGTGTTTAAATTTTGTGGTGTTTCTTCTTTTTTACTCGTAATGCTTCCCTTTCTGATATACCGGTACATTGTCAAGTGTTGCCTCATTCTAAGCTTTATCTGAGCCATGGTTAAGTGCTTGTAAGAATGATATCTCCCTGACAGGGTTCTACTGAATCCACCCATTCTAGTGTGTAAGGCTCAGTGGTCAGTAAAAACGATATCTCCCCGACAGGGTTCCACTAGATCTAGTTATTCTAGTGTGTAGGGCTCAGTGGTCAGTAAAAATGATATCTCCTTGACAGGGTTCCACTGGATCCAGTTATTCTAGTGTCTAAGGCTCAGTGGTTGGAGAGGTAATTGCAAAGTCATCTGTATATATCCATAAATGATCACTTTATATTGATTATTGTGTCTTGATCCTTAGCCGAAACTCGGGACTTGTATCTAAATGTCAAGATAGGACTCTGGCAACTCAGGCCATTTTGACAAATTTTTAAGAAAGAAATATGAATGTTTAAAGTTACTTACTGCAAATTTGGTTAAGGTAGGATATGCAGTTACTGGAGAATGGACTTGCTCTTTAAAAACTTCAACTTGATTCATGGATTGAGCTACATCATAAACAAAACCCAACTATAGTAACAGCAAACACTCCACTATTTTACAATCCCGACATTCTTGTGGGAGGAAAAATATTTTTTAATAAATCCATGTATCGCTCTAATATTAGATACCTTAATGATCTTATTAATGAAGAAGGTTTGTTCCTGACTTATGAATCTGTTTGTGATATTTATCCTCAAGTGAAAATTAATTTTTTAGAATATATGAGTGTTATAAGTGCTCTTAAGGCATGGATGAAAAAAGTTAATTTTAAAGAAAATGTTACTAAATCACAAAACCCTCTGGTTATGTCAAATATACACATCCTTCTAGAATGCAAAAAATCAAGGCAATTTTATAATCTTCTCAATCACAATAGTACAGAACCTACTGGTAAAAGAAAGTGGAATGAAACATTTGAATTGAATGACAAAGAATGGAAAATGATTTTTAAATTGCCTTTTAAAGTTACAAATATCGTAAACTGCAATGGTTTCAGTATCGAATTTTGAACAGAATTTTAGCTTCAAACTCATATTTATTTAAAATAAAAATCACAGAAAATAAGAATTGTACATTCTGTCAGGTGGAAGAAGAGACAATTGAACATTTGCTTTGGGAGTGTGATAGTGTACAACATTTTTTAAGAGAATTTGAAGATTACTTTGAAAATAAAACTAATCTTCAAATACCAATAACAAAAAATAATTTTATTTTGGGGTTCTTGGATGAAAAGAAGATACCAAATAATCTTTTTCTATGGCTTAAATATTATATCTACACAATGAGGTGCACAGGGAAGACACTTAATGTAACTGCTGCAATATCGCTTATGAATACATTTTATGAAACACAAAAATATATTGCTTATAATAAAGGTGAAAAGGATATGATTTTGCTTTCGACTTTCGACTTGGGTGGTCACACGGTACGATTTTAGTCGAAAGCAAATCGAATGAAAAAATCGGATGGAAAATCGAATGAAAAATCGCATCGTGTGACCGCACCTTTAAAGTGTCTTGGAAATGGACCTGCTCCCAAAACTTTAACCTGTTCATTCATCCAGAAAATGTTGGTTAAGATCAAGCATAGCATGCATCCCAGTGTATCATCCAGGCAAGTTTGGTTACCATAAGGCTTATCACTACTAAAAAATGAGCCTTCTCCAAACAACTTGAACCCTATTACTCATCAGGAAAATGTCAGACAGATTCAGCATCTAAAACAAGTCTGGTAGTGTGCATCCTAAGATGTACCATTTGTAATGGTTTGGGCCATGCATATTGGCCTGGGTAGCTTAGTCGGTAGAGCACATGACTAAGTGATGCAGGGGTCCCAGGTTCAACTCCCGGTCCAGCCATACATTTACCGGTACTACTTTCCTGTTACAGATTTAGTACTGTTGACCACCCCTGGACTTGCAGGTGAAAGTCCTGCCAGGGGCAGGAGGGTGAAGACAATTTAAGGGGGAATGTAATGGTTTGGGCCGTGGATTCAGGGGACCAGGGTTCGAATCCTGGTCCGTTCGTTGCTTCTTTCTCCTCTCCCGTTACACATCCATGCAAGTTTGGTCAACATAAGGATTATAGTTATTTGGAAATTAATTTTAAAATTTTTAACCTGCTCCAAACAACCTGGTCAATCTTTGGCTGAAAATGAAGCAACTGAAACCTGACTGGACAAACTGGTACAATGAACCATTCTAGAATCATCCACACATTTCTGATCAATATATGGGATAGAAGTACCAGGTAATTGGAAAGAAATCTGCTCCCAAAACTTTAACCTTGGATTCTGATGGTATTATGTAAGCTCCCTCAACTCTGTTTAGGTGAGCTAACAAGAAAAAAAATCACCTTGCTTCTGCATCAGTATTACTCAGTGGCAACAGATTATGTAGAGTACATGAAAAGATAAAGAACTCATTTGTCAGATCTAAACAATTAGAAAAGAGACATGAACAATTTCTTAATCCATTTATTTAAGATGAAACCACCAATATACTATCAACAGTTGAGCAACAGAAATAGTTTAATACACAGTGTCCTCTGTTATAGCACTAGTTTTGTAGCACATTTATAGCAACATATACATAGTAAAGATAAATTCACCTCAGAAACATAGATGTCAGAATGTGTCCATGAAAGAACAGAATGAGAATGAAACTGAATTTGTCTGAATTTTTTTGATTTCTTTTTGCTTTGCATGAAACATTGAAATGAAAGAGGTTTATGAATGGTTCTGGCACTAACAACATTTTGTAAATACTTTGCATCTTATCTATGGCCACTACCATTGAATAAGACACCAACATTTGGCAACCCATGTGTACATGGCACAAAATTTTACAATAAAAATCCACAAAACATTGTATATGTAAATACACTAGATGTCAAGCTAAATATAACAGAGCTTGTATCAGTATCAACCTGAAAAAAAAAAAAAAAACATCTTCAGATTAAGTTGCAAATTTACTTACATTTTCAAACTTGATTGCACATTTATTTGTCGGCGAAACTTTGGTCATAATGATGTAACACATGGATTGCTGGGGGGTACTGAATTCTACATCATACGCAGGACTAGGCATAGTTATCTTTTCTAATGTTTTTTAGGAAAAGAAATTTTTAATGAGTTTCTAAATATTTCAATGTATAACTTAATAACCATCAATTGTTTTTACTTGAATCTACACCAAAAATCATTTATAGTTTTTTGGAATTTTCTTACTTCTCCAATTCCCACCAAATGTTTCATCACTTCCATAGGGATTCTTTACTTGGTTCTCTAACATTTTAGTAAACACCTATTGTGACATCACGTTGTGCTATGTAATACATGTACTGGACTCCGTATACTGTAGATCACTTTATTTTCGCGACACCTTACTTTCGCGATATAGCTATTTGGTATTTATAAGCGAGACAAAATTTTCGCGAGCTACCCTCTTTGTTGTATATAATCTTTAACAATACAAATATACGCGAGAATAAAATTTTCACGAGCAGACAGACTCGCGTAATTAAATAGATTACATGAAGTGTGTGACTTAGTTACTGTTTTTTTTTTTCTAGCTCTCTTTCCTCAACTCTTTGTCAATAGTTTTATAATTAAAACTGACAATTACAATGATTAAGGAACTTAAGTTGGAGAAAAACTGGTATCTAATTCACACAAGTTGTGGAACCTATATTAAACATAGCAACATGCATGTAAAGGCAGATGAACTACTGTCTTGAGCAGAAAAGCATACTGACAGAATTCTAAATAGCACTTGTGAGAAATTTGACAAATGGTAAAAATTCCATATATAGGTAGAATTTAACAATTTCAGCAACAAGAGTAAACTTCCCCCAATATCTAAATTTTGTTGACAGAAGTTTTAAGCTTTCATGAACAATGACAAACAGTTAAGACATAAATAAATACTCAAATGTTGAATCAATAGGACTATTTCTTGACTATCAAAAAATCCAGGAAAGAAAAATCCAGGTTTTGTACAGAATACACCAGACATTAGGATGTACTTATAGTGACATAGTTAGACAAAAGAATTTAATATTCTTTCACTGAACAAATACTGAGACATGAGACACATTAACCCTTACATCAATAATAACAAGACTTTAACAGTTAGTGTGTCAGTGTTCTGTGTAGAAGATCCATGAGATTCTCCTTCTGTTGAGCAGATACAGAAAATTTTAATGCCCAGGCCACCACTCTCTCAGCAAACCAGTTCACCTCCTCTTGTTTAAGCTGTGTCTGACAGACATTCAGTAGAAGCTTCACCGAGTCTAAAGGATTGGGAAATGGGACCTGAAATTAACAAAATACAAAGGTATTTCATTCACTGCTACTGAATGTGGCCCTCTATTCAAGTGACATTGATTAATCATAATAAGCAATGAAATAATTAGCAAACACAATACATTTTCATGAAGCATAATCAAGATTTAAAGTCCTCATACTTTTCACAATGCTAGTCGGCTTGGATTTATATTCTTAGTTCATCTCATTCATTATCAAAAAATCTTAATTTCAGCAAATGATTCATACATTGTATTTACTGAATAATCCTTTTATGAATATCTATTCAATTATTTCAAATTTTAAAATACAAAGTACTCCTGAAGAATAAAAGGAAGTTCCCTCAATAATCACTTTAACCCCCCTCCCCCCTTTTAAATGAGTAGATTATACCCACTCCCTGTAAATGTGTATTCCTTACCTGTAGATTGTCTGGTCCCCTTTTAAGTTCATGCATCATATACTCCTGTTCATCCTTCAGAATAGCCATTGTTACATAAGGCATTGAGTATTTTTGATCAGCAGACATGTTGTACCATTCATCAGGCACATTGATGTATTTTGCAGGATTAATGAGGTTAGTTAGGTTAGCTTTCCCAGAATGCTCTGCTCCAAGATGGGGCTCGTCTTCCCACAATACCTTGCGAGATTTGTTCAGCACCTCACATGATACACAGATGTCAAATGAGTTTTCAGGGTTTGAGTCATGTGCACTATGAGCAGGGCACAGGTGCTCTCTTGTACTAGAATTCAGAGATTGAGAATCGGATGAAAAAGATCTAGAGAAATGAGGCTGGTCATGATTGTGGTGATGAAAATGAGATAGAATATCCTCCGAGACCCCAGGGAGTAGATGAAGAGGTTCACTATGATGCCTCTTTTTCATAACAGCACTGTGACAATGAGACTGTCTTGAAAACCCCCCAGGTAAAATATCTCTCTCCTCCTCCAACAATGAAACATGTCCATGTGCAAAGTCTCCTCCAGCCTTTGTTTCACTGTGAATGTCTGTTTGGCTGGATGAGAGAGAATTTGGCTTCTGAGCCAAAAGGAGTTGAGATATGGCCTTGTGAATATAGCCCAGAGTTTCCATCAGAGCATATCTCTTCCCCTGTATATCCCATAGGAGACCCCGTGATAAGTGACAGAGTTGGGGCAGTTTCAATTGTGATAAATCAGTCCTCTCACTATCACTGCACTGTCTCTGGAAATCACTTGCTGTGGCTCCTTTTGGTAACTCCACGAATTCTCCACTTTGTGGATCAGTCTTTTCAACCTTAACATCAACAATGCTATCATTTGTAGATGATTCTTTTGTTTCACTGCTACTTTGGTCATTAGTAGCTGCTGACTTTGTGCCTTTGGACTCATTCTTACCCTCTGTAACAGTATCACTCTGTGAACCTGTGGAAGAAGGTTCTCTTATATCACTTGAGGTATTGTCTTTGTCTGATGATTTAGTAGCTTTGGATTCTTCCTTATTAGTTTCACTCACAGTCGTCTCTTGATTATTTTCTACTCCTTCAGAACTGTCATTCTCAGCTTTTTTCACTCTGTCCTCCTGTTTCACAGTTTGACTGGAATCTACTGGTGGCATCTCTGACTTAGTAGAATTTACGTTCCCTCTCGTCATTTGTTGACCATTTTCCTCTTCTTTTTGTACAACTGCAGTCTGCTGCTGGTTAATAGAGTTTAGAATTGCCAAATAATAATAAGCCCTAAGGCAATCCAACTCCCTACATCTCAAGCCTCCACATGACACAGAATCTTCATCTTTAATCTCTGTTAAGTAGCGTTTGATGGTATGCACTTTTGCAGCACCGTCATAATTACTTTTGTTCTCCATGCTGATGACCACTCTCATAGCAGTGATTTCTTGTTGTAGCTTCAACATGTATTTTGGTCCTAAAAACACCAAACATTTATTTCACAAAACTTGCAAATGACAACAGATCTATTTTTGACTTTAATGTCTACAGTATTCTTGAAAGATATCCTAAAAAATTATGTGAGATTAAATCTTCCATTAACATTTGAAAACTGTGCAATCTATCATAAAGTAAAATAAAGTCTATTGATTATACATGTATTGACAAATATTGCCATCTCTGAATACTGATATTGTAATTAATGGATTACTATTGAAATAAACACTTCAATATACAACCATTTACTAAAAATAGCTCTGTAATTATAAGCTTTATTACCAAGAGGAAGAAACAATCTGATGACTGTCTCCATGACAACATAATGTCCGGCTTCCTGTAGACTGCTGATGGCATGGATAAGATGGGAGATGGCGGTGGGTGTCTCCGACATCAGGAAAGACAGCATACACAGGACCAAGTCCACGCTTATCTGGATCAACAACTAAAACAACAACCATATATAATTCATCATTCATACTATCATTGTTACAATATTGTTTAAGGTTGTCATCCCTCTTTTTTAATCATTTCCTAAAAAATCTAGTTTATAATTTAAAATGCACACAATTTCAGCATACCTTGCAGGGGGCAAAATTTGACATAGATATTGTTTTAGCTTGATAATGACAGTGACAGAGTTATCTTTCTTATATAAGGATAGATAGTGGTGTAGTGGTTAGTCCTCTAGCTTTTCTCACTAATGTGATCCGAGTTTGATCTCCATATTGTGAGAGAGTATGAGATCACTCACTCTGACCTGAGGCTTTTGTCTCATGAGTACTCCAGCTTCTTCCAAACTAACAATCCCATATGGAAACAATTTGGCCATTGAGAAGGACTTATACATAAAGAATTATACACCTTGTTACTAACATTTTGTTAACATAACTTTATTTCAGGATATCAGACAAATGACAAAAGGGGGGGAATAAATGACCTGTCTGTTTCAATTACCTTTCTTCACATGAAGTGAAATAAACAAGTCAGGAAAGTAAATAAATTCAAAGCTTTATTTCAATGTTATCTGCCAAAACTCAAGTTAGATTGACAATTGTATATATCTTAAAATGTTACATAAATGAGAAGAAACATCCACATCATCTTTATATAATCTGATTAAGGTTAGGTAAGTCTGGTATCCTGACATTCACCTTAATCATTACACATGTATAAACCTTTTTAGAAAAAAAAAATGTTGGTTATCACATCCAGAATCTCATCAACATTAAAACTTTCTGTGACAGTCACATAAATCCCCCATCTGCAGCTTTCCTTGTAAGGGAAAAACAATGGGATTATAGGAACTGATGACACAAATGTTAATAATGTTTTTCTGGGTAGTCTCTTATGTAAACAAAATTGAAATGGCCTTATCATAATTACGATGTCACCAACTCATTTTAATCCCTATGATCATTCATGGCTGGTTGAATAAATTTGCTTTTATCTCAAAGAATTCTAATTTTCATGCATAAAAAACAATATTTCGGCTACCAGTATCTCCATTAGTAATGGCAACGGGATTTAGTTTTAATCTCAATGTCATTAAGTCACTGAAAGCAAAAAAAAATTCTCAAATTGAATTTTATGGAATTAGGTTATCTACAAAATTTAATACTGCAATGAAAGTTAATCTGACATTTTTTCACTCTTTGATCTATATTGCTTGACAAAAACCCAGTTTTCATGGTGTGTGGCATGTTACCTAGACAATTTATTTTTTTTTTAAAACTACACTGAACTAATCATGAATCCTTCTTAAAACACCCTTTGATAAAGACCAAAAGTATATAAAGGGTATCTATCCCCTCTCTCTGCAAAGTTCTTGGCCTAGACCCACCGCCTAATTTCGATATCTGGTATTATCTACAGGACCACTGGATACTGATAAAAATTGCACAGTTGTGCATTTGGGTGAAATATCTTAGTCCCCAAATGTTTCTTTTAGATTCTTTTAAAAGAAATCCAATATGGGCATTTTATAATCCAGAAAAATTGTAAGGAACTATTGATGAATGGTTAAGACATGCTTTTGTATCTGAATTTTTCAGCCTAAAGGATATGTACAAATAAACAACCCCTATACGCCCACTCCACTTTGTTTTTTCACCTGTAGGATAAGCATTAGTGATACCTGTAAGATGTCCTCCTGGCTCTGTTTGCCAGCCTGTATAATACTTAACCATTAGTGATAGTATTAGTGATAACTGTAAGATGTCCTCCTGGCTCTGTTTGCCAGCCTGTAGGATACTTAAGCATTAGTGATAGTATTAGTGATACCTGTAAGATGTCCTCCTGGCTCTGTTTGCCAGCCTGTATAATACTTAACCATTAGTGATAGTATTAGTGATAACTGTAAGATGTCCTCCTGGCTCTGTTTGCCAGCCTGTATAATACTTAACCATTAGTGATAGTATAAGTGATAACTGTAAGATGTCCTCCTGGCTCTGTTTGCCAGCCTGTAGGATACTTAAGCATTAGTGATAGTATTAGTGATACCTGTAAGATGTCCTCCTGTCTTTGTTTGCCAGCCTGTAGAATACTTAACCATTAGTGATAGTATTAGTGATACCTGTAAGATGTCCTCCTGTCTCTGTTTGCCAGCCTGTATAATACTTAACCATTAGTGATAGTATTAGTGATACCTGTAAGATGTCCTCCTGTCTTTGTTTGCCAGCCTGTAGGATACTTAAGCATTAGTGATAGTATTAGTGATACCTGTAAGATGTCCTCCTGGCTCTGTTTGCCAGCCTGTAGGATACTTAAGCATTAGTGATAGTATTAGTGATACCTGTAAGATGTCCTCCTGGCTCTGTTTGCCAGCCTGTAGGATACTTAAGCATTAGTGATAGTATTAGTGATACCTGTAAGATGTCCTCCTGGCTCTGTTTGCCAGCCTGTAGGATACTCAGTGATTTGTACATTTCCTCCAAGCTTTCTGTATCCATGATAATTCCTAGATTGCTATAAAATATCCTTAAGGTATGATGTGGAAAAGTCAAACCATCAGTTAACCAGGGTTTCCATGGTGACAGAGTGTCCCTATCTTTATTGTCAAGGATAAAATCTGAAATATAAACAGGGGGTCACATTACTCATTCTTGTGTTGAGGAGACAATGCATATGTTTTTGTTTTCTTGATTATTAGTTATTGATGCATTTCTTTCCTCATTTTCTGCTCTTATGTTTCTACTTGCATCAAATAAAGATAAACTTTCCTTTCCTTTAAACTCTGATCATTTCATAAAAGTACATATATTTTGTGAGAAACAAAACATCTTTTTGAATATTAAAAACAATTTTAGAAAAGAGCTAGAGATCATCAAACTCTTTTTTTTTATGATATTGATGACATCAATTCTCTTTGATACATTCATCATACATCAGTATTAGTTTTATAAATGTCATTCAGAACTTCAAATCAATCTTCATTGAAATATAATGAAATCATTCTTGTTGTATATTCACTATTGATTTATCATTCCTTTTCCGTACCTGGTAAGAAGAGTTTCGAGTCAGTCTGCCAGTTTGAGAATTTATCATTCTCTATATTCAGTATTTCTGGGTGGTGGTTTTGGATTGCCTTGGCAACCAGTTCATGCATACCACTGACCGCAATTAATGCCTATTGAAAACCAAAGAAAAGAGCAAATTACACTGATGAGTCAATCACCTAAACTATGATATTACTGCTTTCAAAAGGAACAAAGGAAATAGAAATAATTTTTTCTTCCAAATTACAAAGAAACTCTGTATTATTAAATGCCCAATATCTTTTTATATTGCCCATTTGCAGATTGTGCAGCTTAGTTAAGGATGCACATAGGTGTGGGAAAACAATTAAACAAAAAACAAAAACAAAAAACCAAACAAAAACATGCCTGAATAAATACAAATGTTTTTTTTTTTGTACACGCTCAAATAATTTTGCTTCCAATAAATAATGCAAGATACATTGACATGCAAATAATCTTGCCATAATAACATCATAACTCTAACCCAACACAGAATGAAAGTGAACTTGATCTTGCTGTACTGACGGAGATGACATCACTGACTAGTTTGACACACAGTTTCTGTAAGGTGAGGTGTAGATCAAGCTATTATCGTAGTTTGTTAATATGAAAATTAATATGAAAGAAATGCAATCTGACTAAGACATATTCTTGAATATAACAATCCACATTTTATATTCCAGTTGAATTGATAGTGAGCAGACCTTTTATAAAGCTGTAGAATGGAACACTTCTACAATTACATACTGGAATGACAGGCACACGAGTCCTATAAAATCCTTAAGGTTCAAGGATATCCACTTCACTAAAAATTGACTTTTTAAACACATGTAGATATTTTCCCTACTATTTTGAAAAAAAAAAATGGGTTGAGTGTAGGCTTTTACTTTATTTTGTAATTTAACATTATTTCTATGGGTATTAAGACTTAGTCCATAGTTTATTGAAAGACAGCAAAATTTCATGTACTTTCCAAGTACATGTATAAGAAACTTACTCTCCGCACTTTTATGGTAATAAATTTGTATTGAAGAAAACTCTATCAATTTCATAGCCAAAAGATATCCATATATTGTTGAACTTTTTAAACCAAACCTGTCATGTGATAGCTGATGCAAGTGACTTCACTTAAATGGCTATACAAATTGCAGAATTTCCATTCATTAAAAATCATACGTTTTGCAAAAAAAAAAAAAAAAAAAAAAAATATTCATATCATATACATTTTCTCAAAGTATTTTTTTTTTTTTTGCCAGGTGCAACCTTAACCTAGTTGCATTTGATCTTTGAAGGAATTTACAGTTTTAGATGTTTTAAAGAAGACAATACTGTTTATGACTATTCAACTTTGTAAAATGAAAACATCATCTGATACTCTGTATGTCAGTACTAGAGATATGGTCAGTCTGTCCAACAATCCCTATCTTACTGAAGTATCAATTTCAATCTTGATATCTTGAATTCTTATACACATCATATTTTTCTGAAAGTCCTACAATGTTTGAGATATTGAGGTTTAACTCTCTATGAATGTGCATGTGTATATGCATTTAAGACTTTAATGAGTTTTGAATAGTTTTACTCATTTCATTCCATAACTACTTTGTAGTGGTATATAATTACTAAAATAAAGTGCACAGAATTGCAATCCTTTTTTAAAAGCAATTTTGACATGCTTCCTTATATCAAACAGATTATATTTTATCAAATGAAAAATTAAATTACCAAGAAACAAAATCCCATAGGTTCCCTAACAAAATCCCATAGGTTCCCTACTGCTTAGAAAGACACACATCATAATCAAATGCTATGTCTCTGTCTGACAAAAAATGCTAGCAATTCGGATATACCAAGTCAGATATAAATTCTAGTCCCTTGTGACATCACACATAATTCTGTTACAGCATCAAGATACTACAGGATTGTTCTACTTTGGCAAAAATACATTAGTTTGGGTAAGATAGGAAGAAAAAATCCCTATGGAAATGGTACTTTTCTAATATTCTAGTATGACCTTAAATTAAAGGTCCCTATCTCTTATAACTCAATACTGAACTTACAGACTGATGATATGGTCAGAAAAACGACCGATCAAATCGATACATGACTAAAAGTAACACAAAGTGACCTTTCTTTGATCTCTATAAGAATTACAGAAACATAAACAAGAGGCTCATAGACCTTGACAATCACCCAACCATCAGGACTTTTCTCTGCAACTCAGGCTACTGGTAGAACTCAGGATTGAGAACCTCTTGTTTATTATCATAACTAAAAATTGAGTTTATCTGCTAAATGCTTTGGAATAAACTAGATTAAATTATATATATATATATATATATATATATATATATATATATATATATATATATATATATATATATATATATCATAATGCATTTTCAATACATGCATATCATTAATTTTGCCCCTATGCGATGCCTAAATTACTGGAATGTGATTTAAGTACAGGGAAAATTAGTCATTAAAATCATGCAAATGAGTTACCTAAAGTCTAAGAGCATTAAGAAGAAGATATCTGAAGATTCCATTTATTTTGGCCCCAACCCCTTAGGAACAACATAACAACGAACCATATAATTCTCTGTTTTGTTCCCCTTCATCCATAAATGATTTATACCAAATTTGGTTTGAAATTTGAAATTGACCGGGCTAATTTAGAAGTAGCAAGTGTTTAAAAGTTTATGGACGATGTACAGAGGCCTATAATAGATAAAGTCTAGTTGCTGGAGTGTCTCTTCGATGGCATCACTGAAGTATTGTAAATCATTATGTCTCCATTTCTTTTTCCCATCAGGTATTACCAAAAAGTCTAGCATGTCAATTATTAAATTCCATATGCTTTCTATCATTATTGTAAATTTTATTCTTTATTATTTAAGAAGTGTACTTTTAAAGCTGTGTATTTAAAATAAAACACACACACACAAACAAACGAACAAAGTAGGATGTAAAGGCAAATGCTTTGAGAGACTGGCTTCATTACTTAATCACTCAGGAAACTGGGACATCAGATGAATAGATTGATCAATTAAAGATGCAATATCTTTTTCTGTTCAAATTGATTGCACAATCTGCAGAATAATCTCTGAAGCATTAATATAAAACAGACAATGCAAATCAGATTGCTTTCCATATCTGCCTCAGACAATGAAGAGCTCTTGTCCTGGACATTACAAATCTCTATAGATTGTAACTGTAATCTTACAGTATAATGGTCTCTGAAAGGCCACAACTTTACAGTGTAGTCTCATGAGATGGCTTGTCATGTAAAATTTGAAGAAATCAAAATCTATAGAATGCATTAAAAGCAGCTGGAAACGGAGATTCATAAAAATTGAGACCTTGGGATTCTGCTACTGACTACCAAATGACAAAAAGTTCATGTAAACTTTCTAGACTGCCTCTGAATTTCTCCACAAATAAATAATAAGACCTAAAGATTTAAAATAATAACCACACTATAATTCTGTCTTTTTTTCATGCTGTGACCCTGACCTTGTGTAAATAACCTTTGGTGAGGTTTACCATAATAAACAACTTTTATGTCAGATATGAACTACCATTACTTTATAATTTAATACTGGAAACAATTAGGTGAAAACCTTTCAAGTAGTTCTTAGAATCTAAGAAATTTCTTAATATAACCTATGGATTTATATAGTATGGACGAGTTTTTGTCCCTTTTATTTATTTAACCTCATCCTTAACCCCATTAGTTTAATATATTTAAAATTTTGCAAGTTTACAAATAAAAATCTTAAGTATTTATAAATGAATTCAAAATGAGACTAAATGTTCATTAATGCACTTCTGAGAGAGATATTATTTAAAGAAATAAAAACTACAAAAATACAAATTTACCCAGAAATTGATATACAGTTGAACTTAGGTATCTCGAACATTGATACTTGAATATCATGGCTATTTTGAAGTCATTTGGAAGTCTTAACCCCTTTTTCTCTAGGTATTTAACCCTCAATATCTGAAATCCTTTGATATCTCTCTCAGTTTTTTTTTTCTCAGACCCATTGAGTTCAAGATAAGGAGGTTTGACTGTATTTCAAAAGTTAAAAAAGAAGGATATACATGATGAAAATAATGTTCCAGGTCACATGTTTGCTTGACACATTCAAGTTTTGAAGGTTTATTTCCTGATATCTACACAGCATTGACAGTTAAATGGATTTCCATGCATGTCTCATGCCTAAATCAATCAATTTAAAAACCTTAAAACAATTCATTTTGACAGATGATGTCTCACCTGAAATGCTTTTTGCTCTTTAAGATATGTGTAGGCTTGACTCCATTCCCATTTTAACAAGAACTGTTGTAGCAGTTTGTGGGCATAGGCCATTCCTGACTGCTTTTCATTGGCAATCATAGAAATTCGGGCAGCAGTGTGGAGGCTCGCGGTGCAGTTGTATCTTCTGGCCAACAAAACTGCCGCATTCTGAACCTGCTGCATGGCAAGGTGGCTAAAAGGAAAAAAAATTAAGTGCAAAAGTTTAAAAAAAAAAAGCTGAAAAAAGCTAAAGATTGCATAATTCTGAAAGTAATCTTCAAACATTGAACTTTATTTGATTCATTATGAAGTAATTTTATTAACACAACAGAAAAATAGTCATTGAATAATTAAATTAAATTTCTTTTAAAAAAGCAACAAAGTTTATTTTGAACAATAGAATTTCTTCTCAGTGGTGTTCTATTCCTAGATCTGAATTCTCTGGAACAGAACCAACCATTTAGCAGCTTGCTCGAAATTTCCGTCTTTTGTAAGTTGGTGCGCCCACAGCGTGTATAGATCTTCCAAAACTGGGTCGATAGGTGACAGTCGGACCTTGGCCAGAGCAATGGCTTCTCTGAAAAAAGAAAAAGTCATTAGTCAATATCCAACAGTGCAATCAAAGGGAAACAGGGCTTTAAATGCTATCTGAAAAATCGGCACTCAAACCTCAGGCAATTAGGATGCATAAATGAATAAAAAAGATTTACTTGCATCAGTATGCACGATAAATGTCAGTGTGATCAGTTGAAGTATGATTAACAAACACCAAATAAAGGTTTTTGATGTATGAAAAATCATAAAATTTGGTTTTTTCTGGGTTTCACATGCCCAATTATTTTTTGTTAAAGAGATCAAGAGATATGTGACATATTTATAAACTTAATTTCTGACTCACACTGAATAATAAAACAAAGAATTAAGGAACCAATTTCACATAGGGAAGTTCCGTCAAATCAACCTTTGTGATCAAAGAAAATTTGTCTTTTGTATACCATGGTACTTAATCTTCTTTAACTTGTAAGTTGTATTTTGTGCATAATGATGCCTTAATAACCCAGATTTCAAGGCACCTGTAACTTATTGATGTTTGCTCTACATTCATAGATGCATGACTTTTAATTGGAATTAAAACTGGGCTAAGCCTAGAGAATACAGGTAAATGCATAATCTAATTTCCTGCTCCATGATTTTAATTCCCCTGATTTACCCCTCAAGGATATCATCCACCAGGGATTTTTTTGAGAGAAAGTTCAGTTCAAAAAATTCTGTAATAAATACTCTACAAAACAAATCATTTGCAAGCAGGTGCATTTCTTTATCCCTAAAATATTGAGGGTTAAAATCAGAAAAATACTAGTGCAAAAGATTAACCAGAATATTAATGGTGTAATAAAGAGAATTTTTATACAATAAACATTTGTGAAAACAAAACAATAAAACAACTATTAATCCTATTCAGGTATGGCATTTTTATCTGTTCCTTGCATGTGCAATTTTACTTTCTTGACAAATATCAGGAAAGGACAAGATCCATAAATTTACATGACCCCCCCCCCCCTTTAAAAAAAAAATTGTGCTAATCTGATTATATTTGCTTTGTTATTGAAAAAAAAGCATTGTTAAAAAAAATTGACTTTTCCAACCATTTAAAGGACAAAAAAAAAGCTTGGAAAAAATGCTAAAGAATTCGTAAAAAAAAATTGTACATTTAATTGCTTTATTAATTTGCTTAAATACATATTTATCAGGAAGTTTTCCTTTTAAGTCTTTATCTTTGCATTCTCCCCAAATCTGTAATTTAATATCTGTATTGAAATTCAATGCCAAAACATGAAAAAATTGAAATCCCCCAAATTTAATGTAAATTTACTCTAATTTTACCTAGTGACAAAACATTAGGAAAGGGGGAGGGGGATATGTGAGCAAAGGTAACACACACACACCAATGTAAAAAAAAAATCTGTTGTGCATGCATTACCTTATTTTAATATCTGGCCCCAGGATCATAAAACAAACTTAGGTTTAGGTCAAAAAAATTTAATCATCTGGAAGATATTTAATACTTTGATTAATGCTGAAACTCTTAATATGCAAATAACAGCAGTTTAAGAATGTAATGTGGAATAACATATTCATTTTGGACTATTTGATTTCTTGATCATTTCAGCACATTACATAGATTTTGACTTAAGCTTAAGATGTATCATGATCCTGGGGCCTGACCATTTTAACTTTTTTGAGAAAAAAAGACATATTTTCTAGTCTACACCAAATCTCTACAGCTTTAAATCTCTTGGAAACAAATCATTATGTGACATAGTATCTGGTATTCAATTTCACATGGATAGCAATTTTCATTTTGCCTCTTCATTATTAAGATTAATAGTCAAAGGGTTCTATATACTCTTTGGAGTAATAAAATGCACTCCAGTAGTTCAAATACTATGACAAAGTGTCCATGTCAGCTTGTTCAAGACAATGCTTCCTTTAAACAGTCAATAATACTCAACAGATTCACCACATGATGACGTTCGTTCTTACGTCAGCACTTAATCAATACAAAAGGAAATCTTCAACATATTTTGACAGGGTGCACTTTACTTTTTCAAGGATATGAAACTCCTTTTTTACAGCTTAAATAGACACTGATGCTTTACTTCCTACAGGGGCAATTCAAAACTGAACATCTCATTTTAATCCAGTTTTATCAGCCTGCAAGTATGCTTTTATTTGGTTTGTGGCTTTTTTACAAAGGTAATCCATGTTGTTGACTATTTAAATAATATCATTATAATGCTATCAAAATAAGGCATAAATAACTGTATCAAAGTTAAGAGAAAATATTTTTTAAGCAAGGTGTGTTTTGTGAAACACTGATGCCCCATCTTGACAGCTCATTGCCAAGATTAAAGTTTTTCAAATGAAAATCGAACTCCAGAGGTTAAAGTTTTTTAAAAGTAGGACAAACTTCAAGGTCAAAAGTTAAAAGGTCAAAAACAGTGGTATCAAAAGGGAGGTCTTGTCAAACAGAATACACAAGTGAAATATGAAAGCCCTACCATCAACTATTCTAAAGTTATGGCTAAGATTAACAGGATTTAAAGTAAATCAAACTCCAAGGTCAACGTCAATGGTCAAATAATGTTGATACCCAGGGGAAGGTCTTGATACAAGTAATAATATGTGAAATATGAAAGCCCTAGAACCAACTGTTCAAAAGTTATGGCCAAGGTTAGAGTGAAACATAAAAGTTACACTTCCAATTTAAAAGTTATGGCCAATGTTAAAGTTTGGTAAAATTTTGCAAAAGTGGGTCAAACTCCAAGGTCAAGAGGTCAAATATTTTGGTACCCAAAGAAAGGTCTTTTCACAAGGAATACACATGTGAAATATAATAGCCCTAGCACCAACCAATCAGAAGTTATGGGCAAAGTTAAAGATTTTGCAGACAAACAGACCAAAAACTATATCTTTGAATACAGGGGCATAAAAAAAATTGTATAAAAAAGGGTCTCGAACTTTCATGTGCTTAATTGTCTCACTCATAAAAATTGCACTGCAAGATGCAATTCATTGAATAACATCTCAGTAAATTGGCTATCATTATTTGTATGCCACAGTAATTAGGCTATCAGTATTTGTATGCCACAGTAACAGGCTATCAGTATTTGTATGCCACAGTAATTAGGCTATCAGTATTTGTATGCCACAGTAATTAGGCTATCAGTATTTGTATGCCACAGTAACCAGGCTATCAGTATTTGTATGCCACAGTAATTAGGCTATCAGTATTTGTATGCCACAGTAACCAGGCTATCAGTATTTGTATGCCACAGTAACCAGGCTATCAGTATTTGTATGCCACGGTAACTAGGCTATCAGTATTTGTATGCCACAGTAACTAGACTATTAGTATTTGTGTGCCACAGTAACTAGACTATCAGTATTTGTATGCCACAGTAACTAGGCTATCAGTTTTTGTATGCCACATTAAGTAGGCTATCAATATTTGTATGCCACATTAACTAGGCTATCAGTTTTTGTATGCCACAGTAACTAGGCTATCAGTTTTTGAATGCCACAGTAACTAGGCTATCAGTATTTGTATGCCACAGTAACTAGGCTATTAGTATTTGTATGCCACAGTAACTAGAATATCAGTATTTGTATGTCACAGTAACTAGGCTATGGTATTTGTGTGCCACAGTAACTAGGCTATCAGTATTTGTATGCCACAGTAACCAGGCTATCAGTATTTGTATGCCACAGTAACCAGGCTATCAGTATTTGTATGCCACGGTAACTAGGCTATCAGTATTTGTATGCCACAGTAACTAGACTATTAGTATTTGTGTGCCACAGTAACTAGACTATCAGTATTTGTATGCCACAGTAACTAGGCTATCAGTTTTTGTATGCCACATTAAGTAGGCTATCAATATTTGTATGCCACATTAACTAGGCTATCAGTTTTTGTATGCCACAGTAACTAGGCTATCAGTTTTTGAATGCCACAGTAACTAGGCTATCAGTATTTGTATGCCACAGTAACTAGGCTATTAGTATTTGTATGCCACAGTAACTAGAATATCAGTATTTGTATGTCACAGTAACTAGGCTATGGTATTTGTGTGCCACAGTAACTAGGCTATCAGCATTTGTATGCCACAGTAAACCAGAAGGAATTTTTTTACAACTTACAACATACAGCAAACATAATTCATAAATTCTTTTCATTTGTACAGCAATTCATTCAAATGTGGTCTAAAATGTCAGGAAATGTGACAAAAAATTACAGGAGATATAAGAACGACCACAATAAAACTAAGTTAACTGAGCATAAAATGACTCAATGCAAAACAGACACCTTTGTCACAGTACCTGTAAGTTACTATGGTGAGGAGAGCGTATTTGAACAGAAAGTGACATAAAACTGGAAGACATGAATTTCATTAGATGGACATCAAACAAGAAAGTGAAAGGCAGGAGTTGTATTAGTTGGGCTTGGTCTCAAGTTAGAAACTTTTAGATAGAAGCTGCATTATCTAGGCTTGGTTTTCAAGCTAGAAAGTTTTAGACAGAAGCTGCATTATCTAGACTTGGTTTTCAAGCTAGAATGTTTTAGATAGAAGCTGCATTATCTAGGCTTGGTTTTCAAGCTAAAAAGTTTTAGATAGAAGCTGCATTATTTAGGCTTGGTTTTCAAGCTAGAAAGTTTTAGACAGAAGCTGCATTATCTAGACTTGGTTTTCAAGCTAGAAAGTTTTAGATAGAAGCTGCATTATCTAGGCTTGGTTTTCAAGCTAAAAAGTTTTAGATAGAAGCTGCATTATCTAGGCTTGGTTTTCAAGCTAGAAAGTTTTAGATAGAAGCTGCATTATCTAGGCTTGGTTTTCAAGCTAGAAAGTTTTAAATAGAAGCTGCATTAAGTAGGCTTGGTTTTCAGACTAGAAAGCTGCTGAAGATAGTTGTATTAACAGGGGATGTCATCTAGCTAGACAACTGAGGACAGTTGTATTAAATCGTCTGGTCTTCAAGCTAGAAAGATGTCTTCAAACTAGAAGGCTGAAGACAGATGCTGTATTATCTAGGCTTGGTGTTAGGCTAGAAAGCTGGACAGGGGCTTGGTCTTTAAGCTAGAAAACTGAAAACAGGGCTTGTATTAACTTTTAAGGTGAAAACAGAAGTTATATTAGCTATGTTTGGTTTCCAAGCTAGAAAGCTACAGACAAGCTGTGATATCTAGGTTCTTGGTTCTTATGTTAGAAAGCTATTAAGATAGGGGTTGTATTAGCTGGGCATGGTCTTCAAGGAAGGAAAACAAATATCAAACAAATATGAACAATTGATTTCATAAAATAATGAAATTTGTAAATGTAATGATAACCTTGACTCAAGGTCAACCTGACAGGCATGGATGCTGTGCATCTTTCAAGTAAGAAACTTTGCCATAAAAACTAATGAAAAATTATTTTGAAAATTTTAACCAAAAACTCACATTTGAATTTTAATATAATCTGGTCAAGATTAGCTTTACCATGCCATTTAAACATTAAAAAAATATGAAATTTGTAGAACATTGACCTGATTTCCTCAAATGCTGCCAACGATTTGAAGGTATCACAAATTGCTCTCTGTACATCTATACAAGTGAGCTGATAGGAGAACAAGATGCTATGTGTCAAGCATACATTACATTTTTTTGGTAACATTTCTCTTAATTAACTCACTCATAATAGTCCTTGGGAATGATACTTTAATTCATATAGCACATTAACCTTATATAAGAGATTTTAAGTAATTCACCTCAAAAATATCGCTCATAAAAGTCTGGAAATAAAGAGAATTTACACTCAAAATCTACATCTATGGAAAAAAATTGATGTAAAACAACCCCCAAAGTGGCAGATATAGGAAACACATAAAACTACAAATGCTTAGTCAGATATTTATTTTACTCCTATAACTGATCTTCTTGACAGATCTTGAGTGAGGTAAGTATTTATAAAGAGTTCAAGGAGAAGTTAAAAAAAAGAAAACCTAATCATTGGTTTATTCCTTGGAGCTCAAAAGTTATTGAATAAAGCTGTCAACATTTATAACTATTACCACAGATCAAGGGTCCATGACCTATATGTGAGAGACCTTGCTTAGAAACATGCCAATCGTAGAAAAAAAAACATCATGCCATCAGGCCCCACTCCCACCAATTAATGCTCAAAAAAAGGGGGAGGCTACCTTATTTGTTTTCAAAAAGTGTTCAATTTCCCCTCAAAGCATGCCAAAGATCAAGCCCCTGTCAAGAGATCCCCCTCAGACAAAAGAAATTGACAGGCTTTTTCTGGTCATAAGCAACAACACAGATCTAGGTTATTGTTATATGCTTGTGAATACAAAGGGGTGTACTATTGATTGAAAAACTCTTTTAAATTAATGAAAAATGTCATATGCATTGTTAATTTTCATGATATTTAATGATAAAAGGACACCATATTGTGTTCCACTCCATTCTGAGTTTGTGAAGGATAACAAAAGGTGGTAAAATCAATGGGAAAATGCTATTCAAGTTCATGAAAAGTTTACGTAAATGAGATACGCAACATATTTTTTATATTTACAGAATTCAAATATATCTCCAACAAAATTTTGAAATTTACATTGCAGTAAAATTCTCTAAATTAAACACTTTAAGAATCTTGATTTTACAAAGATAACAATTCAATGTTGTTTCTGTCTCATACTTTTTTCCTCATTCAAAAAATTTTCATAAGTAGGGACAAAGTTCTGTACATAATGAAATTCCTAACAAAATTAGTACATGCATTTCCCAACATTCCTTTTAATGACCTTCACAACCTTAAGGGCACCTGTTCATTAACACCAAATCACACACATAAAGATCTCAGGACTGCACCTACTTAAATAGGCGGTGTCTTTTGAACAAGTCGATGGCACTGTAGACCTTGTGGCATGCCAGGAGGTAGGTGGCGGCTTTGTGGTACTGTCCCTCCTGTTCTAGCTGGGTGGCGTAATCCTCGCAAACTGTCATCCAGGTATCAAAGGCAGCTGCAATAAGAAAACAGTGTTAAAGAGGGGGAAATGGAACACCCATGAGAAAATTTCTACACAAAATCTTTGGATCTTTTGTGTTGTATTTCTAAGTGCTTGCAAAAACCACCATGCTGCAAACAATAAGAGATTCTTTCTTACAGGCTGCCATGTTGAATTTTCTATTCGTTTTTTTTATAACAATTTCTCAACAATAGACCATGTACCCTTTCCATGGATATTCTATATAATCTTGAGCACTAGCTCTACTCTGGGAAGCTATAGAATTCATCAAATGTATTTTATGAGACCATTTACTTCTGGCAAAATTCATTGATACATATGATGCATTTTGAACATTGTTATGGGTTAAGTTCTCCAAGTTGTCAATATCAATGTTAGAAAACACAGAGATTTTATTTTTTCAGAAAAGTTCTTGTGAAACACTGTATAACTCTCTCTGTAAACTTCACTTCCATTGGTAATAGTTTGGTTCACAACTGTAGTTCTTCAGTTCTGCATATAAGAGGATCCAGAAGTGCAATCTTATAAAATTAACATAATATATATTTAATAGCAATACCAGCTATCTCTAAATATTTACTGTAACTAAATAGATCTTTTACAGCATTTCTAGAATACCTTATATTGTGTTTAACAAGTTCAACTACAACCATTAAACCTTGATGTACTAACCCATGGGTGCCATGGCAACCAACCAATCAGAGAGTTCCTCCCTCTCACGAGCCTGTCGGAGGACGCCATTTATATTTCCTTTCCAAATCTCCAGCTGGTAATAGTAATCCATGTTTTCATGGTCTTTGTGGTACTGACCTGTCAAGAAACCAAAGACCATAAAAAGGTCAAGGTGAAACAGAATATGAAGGTCATAAAAAATGAGGTAAATATATAAATTTCTTTTCCCAAGTTGTGACATGCATAAATATGAAATTTCACCTATTTAGACAATAAAAAAAATGAGACCCTTTTGGTAGTTAAGCTATCCTCATTCATCATGATGGATGTAGAGGTTTAAAAATACTACCTTATAATAGATGTAAAGAAGATACTATAATGGTTTACACAGAGAATAAATAAATCTCTTTATATAAACACATCAGGTGAGAAAGATTTGGGTCATATCAAGTTCCTGACAAGTGCACTAGTCCACAAAATCAGGTTTCACATAAATTTACTGCCATATAAAATATTCTGATTTGGATTTATGCCTCCTTTACACTTCAGATGTTAAAGTGTCCATATTATATCGACAAGTTAAATACTGGTATATTTTCTTCACATAAAACATTGCCCTCCATAGCACAATCAATAATATACTTGTCAAACAATTTTTAGGGGTCATAAGGAGAACAAACATGAAATTGTGCAATAGAAATTTAATTCTACATGAAGTTATCATGCAAGAATAAGCATTTCTAAAAGAGTAAAACAAAAATGTTGGTGATCACTTAAGACAAAATCTACAAGTTCATACACTTTTCCAGACACCAAAAAAGCTAGGAAAGTTCAGGGACCCTGGGTACTCTTAGGTCATCACACCCATCTGGGTTTCTACAGAAGTCTGACTGAGACAAGACAGGATGATGAAGCCTTATACAAACACAGAGAAAAAGAGCAAGAATCTCTTGTCCCTGAAATTGATTGCGAAAAAGAACTTAAAAATAACAAACAGGCAATCCTGGAACTATTCATCACAAACTGCAATGAAGAAAAGTTAATTTCCTGCAACTCTGACAGGTTTCCAAATTTTTGCAATGAAAACACTGATATAATAAGATTTAAGATATTGATATCAGATTGCAAAGACAGGATAGCAATGACCTTTCAAAGAAGTCATTTCCAGAGTTCAATAATAAGATTCCTCCTTTTTTTCTGTGTCATTCTGTATTCATCACATGAAGACTTCTCTAAAAGAATATTAACAATACTGGTTCATATACTGGTAATCATAAACCCCCGAGAATCCCTCAGAATATTTCAAGGGGGGGGGGGAGTGGGGGACTGTTATACCTTACTCCAAAATCTTTTCAAGGGCTTAGATACAATTTTTATAGAAAGACCTTCATACATAATCCCCCCCCCCCTTTTTTTTTAAAGATAATTGTTCATTAAAAAAAAAAAACACCTCCAGATTTAAAACATGATCATAGAGATACATGTTACATGATCATAGAGATAAATTAAGTACTTTGTGTGGATATAAATACATAGGATTTTGTTTAAAATATACAGAATCTGATATCTTCCTTTGATATCTACATTTAATAGTCATTCTAAATCCTAAAATAGGTTTGAATTATAAACAGACCTTTAAATAATGGTAACCCAGTGTCCTCTTTATAGCCTATCTCAGGTACGTGACAATTAGGGGCAGGTTTTTAAAAAACATTCATATTTACATTATGTTCCATTTATTGCCGGATTTGAAGTTCATTCTCTAACTAATCACACCATTTCGACATTAAAATATCAAAGCAGGTATAATTTCTTTGGGAAAGCTGACAAAATGAAAATAAAACTGTCAAAAATCAGATATAAAAATGACAAGGCATTATGAAAAATGAAATAAAAAACAAATGATATGCTTAAAATTTAGCATTTTTGCAGGAACATCTCTCATATTTACATAAGCTAAAGATTGAGAAATAAATGAACATCTAATTGTAATCATTATTTGAATACACCAATATAAACAAAAAGTCCTTGAAGCCCAAATTATTTTTGTAAAACCCACAAGCCAGACCTCTCAAAAAATTAAACAATTTATACAATAAAATGCAGAATAAGTACAATTGTGTATCAGAAACTAATTACCTGACAAACATTACTTGTAATCAACTGTCCTAATCCAAATCAGGTGGCATATGTCGAAGGAAAAATATAGGTCAAGACCTGGATTAAGTAGTCAGAACATTTGTAAATCACCTGAGCAAGGTCATCACTTAATACCTTATCAGCTGATCGTCTATGGCTAGAAGTACATGTCAAATATAATGAAGATTTACCTATACCCTTTTGTATGTTAAATATAAAAAATCATCAAAAGTTGGAACACTTGAAATATTGCTGCAATCCTCATACAAATATGATCCTATCTCTTTTTCAGTCTCCATTTCAAGAAACAATTGGCAAATCTTAAAAACCAGACTTGACTGATAATTAGGGATATAAGTACATTTTACGCATACTGTAAACAAGGTTATCTGTGTCGTTAATTACAAAAATTAGATGCAAGAACCATATGTATTGAAGTTATTTCCACAATACCTGTATGATGCATTGATAACTTATGCTGAATAAAATATATGAAAAAAAGCATAGGTACTCAGAGGACATTAATGCCAAAAATATCACCATGTATAAATTTAGTGAAATTACCCTTAAATGTAAATGTCCACATTTATATTGATTGGAATACAGATTGAAATTAAAAAAAAAAAATTTCTCACGATTTACCTGTACTTGTAATAAGATACATATGTACAAAATTTATGTGCTAAATAACAAGGATGATTTCTCACTTTCTTAAAACATCAAATCTTCAGCTTGTGGGTATTTTATTACAGTTTATAGGTGTGTTAAACCAAAGACAAAATGACTATGAGCTTTATATAAGCAGATTTTATAATACAATCTGCACAGCTGTGTTTAAGCTGAGTCACTCTTCTCTTACTTCATCTGGATTCCTTCCCAAAATCTTATTACCTTATATGGATCAAAAGGTCTCCCCAAATCTTATCATCAAGAATTCCCTCATTCAGATCTAGACATTACCCATCATATATATATTGTCAAGTGGGAACCTTATCCAGATCACAGGGTGACTTCCCTTAAATCTAATCAACAAGAGGTCCCTCTAGATCCAGATCTAGCAAGAGGTCCCTCAATGACCCTCATCCAGATCTAGATATGACCACAAATAAACTGAAACAACAAGAGGTCCCTCATCCAGATCTAGATATAACCAAAAATAAAACAACAAGAGCCCCCCCCCCCCCCAATCCAGATAGAGAAACTACTACAAATAAAACAACAAAAGGCTCCTCATCCTGATCTAGATATAACCACAAATAAAACAACAGGGAGTCCCTCATCTAGATTTAGATATAACCAACAATAAAACAACAAGAGGCCCCTCATCCAGATCTAGATATAACCACTAATAAAACAACAAGAAGCCCCTCATCCAGATCCAGACATATAACCACAAATAGAACAAGAGGCCCCTCATAACCACAAAAAAACAAGAGCCCCCCTCCCCCCATCCAGATAGAGAAATGACAGATCTGATACATTCAGATCATTTAAATCATCCTAAACAACAAGAGGCCTTTTACTATAGAAGTTATTTTTTCCATGTGGTATTAATTTAAGCTATGTACGTAGTCACAACTTTTCTGCAAAAAATTTATCTCGGCATACTTAAAGTATATCTAAGGCATATAGTGGCAATCTACGAAATCCGGTAATTTTCTACCAATAGATTGAACACAGTTTTGTGATTCCATGGAATTTTGACCACGTGGAAAAAAGTATGTTTACAGTATTTAGATAACTCACCCAATCTACTCCTCAATAGGCCTGTTATTCAGATCTCAAAGATATAATCAACAAGTGGATCCTTATTAAGAACCAGATATCTCTCAGGAAGACATCACTCCTAATTTAATTACCAAAAGGATCTATATCCAGATTAAGAAATTTTTGCTAATCCAATCACCAATATTCTCTATCCAGTTGATCTGCCATTATCAGGTTCCGTATACAGATTCAGTTGTCAACTCTATAGAGTCAAAATCCAGATATCTCCCTGTATCTAATAGAGCTGATTATCCAGATCTATAGATATCTCTCCTATTTGAATCACTAGGAGGCCCCTAGTCCTGGTCAACATGGATCTCAATTATTTAATCACTTTTAGGCAGTCATAGAAATCATCAATAGCAATCTGTGACAATCCACACTGAGCAATCCGCTTAAATCCAGATAAAAGGATAGATAAATAAACAAGCATTAATATTTTGATATTACCCCCTTAATGGAAGTAATTAACAATTTCACTCATTGCCTTACCACAGACTATTTCTGTGTCATACATACCATATTTAGTCACAGTTGTTTGAACTTTCAATCACTTTAGGTTATTCTTATAGTTTAAAAAAGTTCTTGAACTCTTAATGAGACTATTATAGATCTAGTTCTCTTCACAAGGCGTGTAAATGGCCTTTAAACAACAATGGCTAGAACGCGCTGCAGATATATAAATAATCCTTTTATATATTTCATGTATATCAGCAATATAGTTTAACTTAAGGGTCACCTTAACAAAAACTGTCCCTTTTCCCTAAGTATTTTTGCAGCAATTATATCTAAAATGACACTAATCTATACATTAATTCAGGTGTTATAAACAAATGACAATTTGTGAAAATCAGATCTTCAACTGGCCAAGAGAACTTTGCAGCACAATGCAATTACCACAATAACATATAATATGCTTAAAATCGGCTTCACTTCTAATCTTACATGAATTTTCAGATACTCATTGAAAATTGATTTCAAATCAAATCAGGCTGTTTTAAACATCATGGACAAGTCATATTTTAAATGAATGAAATTTCTACCATAAAAGTTGCTGAAGATCCTTTTTGAAACATGTTGTAGCAAGTCAGTAAAAACTGTCATCTGAATTATAGATAAAGCCCAAACATAGAAACATTTTCACATTTATGAACTAATTATCTTCACCAACTACCCTAATGAAATAACAGTTAATGATATTCAATTACATTATTAACTCTTCATCATAATTT